ACAAAAAAACCCCAAAACCAAAGTGGACCAGAGTCCTGATTAAGGGCTTATGGGGTTTCACTGTAACCATCACTCAGGTGCACCTGCATGCATACTCTTATGAGCACACAGGTCCAAACACAGGGTCACACACACACACACATGCAAATAGCAATAATAAAGCCCACAGCCACACCAGAAAGCAGGATATGTGCTGAGCTGGTTTAGGAGGAAGAAGAGACACAAATGGCAGAGCTCTGTGGTCTGGATGCCACCCTCGGCTTTCCCTCTGTCCTCCACATACATGCTCAAACCCTCCCTTTAAAAGTGCATTTTCCCCTCGCAAGCAGAGTCAACTCTCTTTATTCTAAAAAAATAAAAATAAAAAAAATTTAAAAAATAAAAAAAAACTTAAAAGAACTTTTAAAAACAGTTTAAGCCCATTTTGATGCTGTTCTTCCGTAACCAGGTCTCAGTGTGCCATCCAAGCTGAACTCCTAGTAATCCTCGTTTTTCCCCACCCTCCTCAGTACTGGAATTGTCAGGAATGAGCCACCATGCCTGGCTTTTCTTTTAATGAACTATTGAGTATCAAAGTGTCCCTCTTTCCCCCACAGGGCTACTAGGAAATTCAGAGCTACAATGATGAGATTTTCACAGACATTAAACCAATTTGTACCCTGATCCACCTTTTAAAAAGAAAATAAACAAAATGATTACTTTTCTTTAGTCAGCTGTACTCCAGTTTCTTTCATTCTTGGGAGCTGTCATAACTTTAGGGTAAATATTCTTCAGATGTAAATTGTGGCACTCAGGGCTGGAGATAAACTTCATTTGGCAAATGGCTTCCTGAATGAGTTGGAGAACCTGTGTTCACTTCCCTGAGCCCAAATTTTAAAAGCCAGGGAGCTGGAGCGACAGCTTAGATCAGCACTGGCTGCTCTTCCGAATTAAACACTTGGTTTAATTCCCAGCACCCCATGGTGGCTCACAACTGTCTGTAACTCCAGTTCCAGAGGCTCCAACAGCCTTTTCTGGTCTTGTGGGCACAGACATATGTATGGCGCACAGACATTTATGCAGGCAAACTACCCTCACACTTAAAACGAAAAATGGTCAAAACCAAAACCCACACGGGCATGATGGTACCTGCTTGTAAGCCCAGCTTAGAAGTCGGAGACAGGCAAACCCAGGGATTCATTGGCCAGCCAGGTTACCAGAATTGTCGAGTCCCAGACCACTGACAAACCCTGTTTCCAGCCCCTACGGAAGGTCCACATTTGTATGCAGACACATTGACGCACACCCATGAACATATGTGCATTCTCACATACAGATACACACACACAGAGTTATCGACTGTGACAGGATGAATGACCATTTTCTCTTGGGGCTGTTGTAGCGTTGGCAAAGGTTCCCTCTTTTCATGGAGTTGCCCTTAACCTCCCTGATAATCTGTTGCTCTGTTCACTGCAGACACCAACATAGCTGCAGACTTTCTCCATTCCCTTCACATCACTTCTTCCGGGCTACCTGAGGCTGCGTGCTCATCCTGTTTCCCTAACTCTGAGGCTTCCCCTGTCCCCCAGGTCATTGCCACTGAAGGTCCCATGCCGCCTGGGTGGAACTCACGTCACCTTTTCAAAGCAGACTCCCCAGGGAAGTCAAGTATTCATGGAGGGAGAGGCTGCGTAAGTGGAGTTCAGTTCAGAGATCCTGGCACTCTCACTGGAATGTATTCACTAACCTTGAGATCCCGCTCTTTGATAGCTGTGTGCTTCCTCATTCATAGCTGAGGCGCCTTAACCCAACTGTTTGACAGCTGTGTCTCCCAAGTCCTTTGAATCTTAGATTACTGTCACTACAATGTTATGATTTATTGTTTAAACGCTCTCAAAACCAGGGTTGTTTCTTTTAAACAGCTTCTCCATTAAAGGGACACACACACAGACACTGTCCCAAGCCTGTTCTGTGGGTGGTCTCACCATTTAGTTTCAAACACAGCCTCTGAGAAAGGAAGAAAGAGAGGTGAGGTTTGTATGGGTGTCAGTATCTCTATTTATCACTAGATTTAAGGATAGCACAAACATAAGTAACTCGGGCTTCACCCTGCAGACTCTCCTTTCCCTTCGTGTCCCTTTCCAACATTTACTCAGTGTCTGACTGTCTTGAACCAACTCTACTGATAGGGCCTTCGGCCTAAGTCCTTCTTTCCAGGCTTCCCCCTTCCCAGTCCAGGTGGCCTCTTTCTTGAGACACTGTGCTGGCATCTCTGTGTGCATATCTGCCACAGACTCGTGTTTGAACACGGTTACAGCTGGCCGTGCTATTTTTGGAGGCTGTGAGATCTTTGGAACAGGAGGAGAGGGTCTAGCTGGCGACTGTAGGGTGTCAGAGACCTGCCTTGAGGGTTGTGTGTAGCCCTGCGTCAGCCTGGGGGATCTCTGGTTCTTGGCTGCCACGGAGATGGGAAGAGCCCAAGGTCCCATGCTCCTATGGCTGTGAAGCTCACCCGGCCTTCCCTGCCTAGGCACAAAACCTCTGAAAGCATAAGCCAAATAAATCCCTCTCCTTTTAAGCTATTTCTCAAAGCTTTTTGATCACAGCAGTGAGAGGAGGAGCAAGCACGTGGGCCTCCCTTGCTACCGCTCTGGAGGACAAGTGGCAGTCCTTACCAGCCACCTCTCTGGAGGACAAGTGCAGTCCTTACCAGCCACCGCTCTGGAGGACAAGTGCAGTCCTTACCAGCCACCTCTCTGGAGGACAAGTGCAGTCCTTACCAGCCACCGCTCTGGAGGACAAGTGCAGTCCTTACCAGCCACCTCTCTGGAGGACAAGTGCAGTCCTTACCAGCCACCTCTCTGGGCTCTTAAAGTTCTTGGGAATAATTCCAAATGACTCTGCAGGTTTATTCACAGCACCCTGCTCCTCCCCAGCGGGAACTACTCGCTGTCTCCACATCTCTTCAGCTCTGCAGCTTCTCTTCTGTCCCTACAGCTGAGGCCCATCCTCCTCACCTCTCTCAGTGTCTTCAACCTTCTCTCTGGGGCCCAGCTCCAGAATCTTTTGGGTATTTCACAAGAAGATTCTTAGGTCATCATTTTGATTTTGAATGAGCTGATAGCCTGCATCGCACAGACATTCTTTGCTAATCTAATGGTAGATATCTGTTCCAGAGAGTCCCTCAGAGGCTGAGGCGATGGCTCGGTTAATACAGCACATACAAGCATGAAGACCTGAAGCTGATCCCCCAGAACCCATGTACTAAGAACTGAGCATGGTGGTGCAGGCTGATGAGCTCAGCCCCGAGAAGGTGAAGACAGGCAGATTTGGGGGGCCACTGGCCAGCCTATCTTACATGGCTAGATGCAAGGCAAGGAGAGAGGCTAACTCAAAAAGTTCACGGTCTGGCTGGAGAGATGATGGCTCACGAGTTAAGAGCACTCACAGCTTTTCCAGAGGACCTGAGTTTGGCTCCCATCACCCACATCAAGCACCTGCCAACCATCTGTAACTCCAATGCTAGGCTATCTGACATCCTCTTCTGGCCCCTGAGGGTCCTACACACACATGGTACATATACATACACTCAAGCAAAACACACACACACACACACACACACACACGCTGCATCCACATGTATGTGCGCACACATACGCCTACACAGACACATGAAATCCCTCTTAAATGTGAACACATTATTTACTTACAGAGGGCGTCTATAAGCCAGAAACAGCCTTGAAACTGGAAGGTGCCGACACCTGCCAGACAAGGCTGTGGGCACACGCTGATCTGCAGATGTGCAGGAGCTGCTCTCCTTTAGCAAAGACTAATGTCTGTGCATTTACTCAAATGTGCATTTGTGGCACTAAGTTTAGTTTTCCTGAGAACGAATATGTCAGGGGATGAGAGGGGTCTCCCACCGACGGCTTTCCCCAGCTGCTAGTTTTCTTTCCAGCCTCAGATGTTCTGAGCCCTCCCATCTGCCAGTCTGCCAGTTGCCATACCATACTTGGCTAAGTAGCCATAAAGACATTCTTGTCTCTCCTGACGTCTCGATGCAGTGAGCATTCAGCAAACACTGGTCGAACTGATGCCAGCAGAAATTCCAGAATCAATGCCAAGGGGTTTCAGGAGTATTACAACATGAATTCTTTATAAACATCCAACACTTTCATTTTCTCTGAAATTAAGTAACATAATCTTCAGGTAGAACTACGTGTTATCTTCTCGCCTCATTTCCCCCCACAGCAGACATGTTTCACTAGCGATTTCAGCTCACCTTGCAAAGAATAACTCAAGGGAGTACATTCAGGATTAGCACTCCCCCTCCCCCCGTGTGCTGGCACTAACGAGGTGTCTGCTGTAATCTCGGGGCTTTAAAAGCTTAGACTCTATCTGGGGAGGCTTAGGCAGTGTGGCCTTGCTTGAGGAAGGAAGGCTCTGGAGGCGGGTTTTCAGGTTTCGTACGACTCACACCATTTCAAGTTCATGCTTTTTGCCCTGTGTGGGGTTTTTGTTTTAGATGTGCCCCCTTAGCTTCCAATTTCAGCTGCCATGTGTGATGCCTGCTGAGCCCACCATTCTGGACTCTTATGCTCTGGAACCATAATCACAAAATAAACTCTTACTTCTGTTCGTTGCCTTGGTCATAGTATTTTATCATTCACAGCAAAGTAACTGATGTGCACAGCAACAGCAATGCCACCACAATTACCTTTAAGTCCCTACAGCCCCTTCTGCTAAAACATCGATTGACCTGAAAAATCCGTATAAAAAAGTCAGATTCAAAGCTGCTTTGGAAAGTTGTCTCAAAACTCTTGAGCAGTGTTTGAGCTTTGGGAACTGAATTAACATGGTTGCCCTGAGCTTAGGCTCCCATTTTCCAAAGATGTCAGCAGCCAACACCGCTGCTCCTTCTGGGTGGTGGACAACAGGCTTGGCTTTGTGGTAAGAAGACTAATTTACCAATCTCACCAAAACTAGACCATTGCGTAGGAGACAGACAACCACACAAGATGTCACAGGACTATCTTTAGAACACCGAGCATGAAGAAGTACAGGATGGTTCAATACACCATAGGCTTTTTCATTCGCAAAACAAGGCTGACTCTCAGGGGTCTGCTTCCCCTTCAAGGAGGGGTACCCACAATCCTGCAACTCTTCACACCTTCGCAGGCAGAGAAGGGGATCGATCCAGCACCACGGATGTCAAGGAAGCCTTCAGAATGCACTCCTCCTTCCTGTCCCTAAAGAAGTCAGGACTACAGATTGTGTTGTCACCAAGAAGACGCTGGTGATGGTGGTTGTAGATGTCTTGGGAAAGGGGACATTAGAGTCATTGGACCCACATGGAACTGAATTCATAGTTTCAAAACTAGACAAGAAGGTCGGGAGATGGCTCTGCTGGTGAAATGCTTGCTGCCACAGCATGGGAATCTACCTTCCCTCTTCAGCATCCATATAAAAATAGATGCAATGGAGCCCAGGCCTTGGGAAAGTGGAGGCAGGAGGATCCCTAGGCTCATTGCCCAAGCAGCCTTGCTGAATCTGTGAGCTCCAGGTTCAGTGAGAGGTATTTCCTAAAAGGTAAATAAATCATAAACTAAAGTTAATTAATTAATTAAGTGCAATGGAGAAAAAACTGGTCAACTCCAATCTCTAACATCCACATGTGTGTATAAACATGAACACACCTGTATACACACATGAACACACACACACACACACACACACACACACACACACACACACAAGCTACTCAAGGGTTTAGAAAAAACTTCTAAAAGTAGCTTTGGATCTTGCTGCATGATTTTGGGATTGGCCTGACTGGAACAATGAAGACTGAAGAAATGGCAGGCAAACACACACACACACACACACACACACACACACACACAGAGAGAGAGAGAGAGAGAGAGAGAGAGAGAGAGAGAGAGAAGCTTGGCTCCAGTGGGCCATGCTTTCTGACAGAGATGTACCACAGAAGCCTAGAAACTCGGCACATTTCTTATCTACAGCATCATCTCATTACACACAGCATGAAGAGGAGGAGTAGGATTAGCTGATCTGGGTAGAAGGTCATGAAAAGGGTCTGTAAGGAGGAGGCTAAAGCTGGTAGTTTCTGCCCACACTGTCAACATCTGTCCTTGGACAGGAAAAGGCCTTTCCGTTCCTCTGAACCTGGCTGAGGAAGGTCTTGCTGTTCCTGTACTGTTACGATGCTGGGGTCCTTGACATGGCCATGATTGTGTTAACAATACACACCCAGTCCAGACTTAACTCACTCCCCACAGGATGCCATTATATGTATAGTATATATAATTAATATATTCTATTATATATTCCATTACACATGGATTCATAAATAATTTAAAGATTTGTATTATTGTGGACCTAACTTTCTGTGAAAGCCTTGGGAATTCTGCATATTGAATTATCTTCCAAGACTTAGAGAACAAATGGAAATTCACCCAAATTTCAGTTTTAATCTATATCCCTTACTCAGTTTAAATGGTTGGGTAGCTGGTGTCCTCCGGAATATAATTTGAGAAATATTGTGCCAAGAAGTACTGGGCTATGCAGTGAATTCTTTCTGGAGTAAGAACATGATTTTGAATTCCAAATGCTGTGTTTGTGGCAAATCATTGGTTGCCAAGGATACCTCTATGTGCAAGTTTCAGAAAATATAATGAGCAGATGGATTCTTGGTTGGAGGGAGGAAAATTTGTCAGAACTTAAGAGGCAGGAGAAGGTAAGGGTCTGACTGTGGAGGAAGCCACATAGTTGATATGGCTGAAATACCAGCACACACTAATAGCGTGAAGTACCCTCTGCTTGTCTGCCAATGAAGATGCCATTAAGTTTCAGCTAGGTATCTGGCTGGAAGCCTTTGGGGACATTGCAACTGTGACCCCGAAATGCTTCAGTCATCTACCTGCCCTTGGCTTTCAGCCACACTGTTTTAAAGATGTATTTTTGTAATTATGTGTATGTACAGGGATGGGAAGGAGATGTCTGTGCACATGAGTTCAGGTGCCTGTGGAGGCAGGAGGAAGTGTTGGATCTCCTGGAGGTGGAGTTACACTCAGTTGTGAGGTACCTGAGATGGGTGAACCGAACCCAGGCCCTCTGCAAGGACAGCCGTTGTTCTTAATTGCTGAGCCATCTCTCCAGCCCTGACACTCTTCTCTGTTTCTGAATTCCATATGGCCTCCCTCTTGCTGCAGTGGTTTAAATGAGAATGCTTCCCATAAGCTCATTTCCCAGTTGGTAGAACTGTTTGGGAAGGATTAGAAGTGTGACCTTGTTGGAGGTGTGTCACCGCGGTGGGCTCTGAAGTTTCAAAGGCCCATACCAATCCCAGGCAGCTCTCTATGCCTCCAACTTCTGTCTCTGGTAGGGCCTTGTTTAACCCACGCTAGACTTAAACTCACCCTGTAGCAAAAGATGAACTTGAACTTCTGATTCTCCTTTCTCCCCCTACTACCTGGCCTGTGAGCTGCAGGAGACTGAACTCAGGACTTCATGCATGCTAGGCAAGCCGTCTACCAACTGCGCTATGCCACCTCCTTGGATACCTTTTCTAAATGCTCTCTAAAGCCTCCATTCTGCTGTTAGGAAAGCCTGCCTCACTCTGAGCACCCCTGTTCGGCTCCCCTCAGTGTCTAACGCAGCATGACTACGGGCACTCACCATGTTTGTGAGAGGAGAGGGAAATTTCCAATTCATCTCCAACCCCCGAAGTATTAGCTTCATATTGTTGCTGTAACAAAGCACCATACATTTAGGGTGTGAGGCAAATTGTTATTTACAGTTCTTAGGGATCAGGGTCTGTAATGAATCTGAAAGACAAAAAAGGAATGCCTAGGGATCCATTATCTCTGGAGACACTAAAGGCTTCCCTTTCCAGCCTTCTACAGAGGCTGTCATTCCTTGACTCGAGACTATATCATTCCAACCTCTGCTTATACTGTCACACATGTCCTTCTCTCACCCTGGTTCTCCTCCTCTTCCTTTTCCCTTTCCTTCTCCTCCTCCTTCTTTTGTTTTATTTTTGAGACAGGGTCTCTCTATGACTCCCAAATGCTTCAGTCATCTACCTGCCCTTGGCTTTCAGCTACTTTTTTTTTTTAATTATGTGTATGCACAGGGGTGGAAAGGGGATGTCTGTGCACATGAGTTCAGGTGCTTGTGGAGGCAGGAGAAGGTGTTGGATCTCCTGGAGATGGAGTTACAGTCAGTTATGAGGTGCCTGAGATGGGTGAACTCACTCTATAGACCAGGCTGGCCTCAAACTCAGAGATCTATCCGCTTCTTCCTTTCAGGTGCTAGGATTAGAGGCGTACTTCATCACTGCGGGGCTGACCCCGATCCTTGAGTAAGTATTCCTGAGATTATACTGAGTTACCCAGGTAACCCAGGATCATTTCCCCATTTCTGCTTTGGTCTTAGTTCAGATACATGTCTCTGGACCATTACTCTACAATGGACAGCAATTTTTTGTTTTTATTTTTTTTTTCAGAAGTTTTTAAGTGCATTGTTATGTGTGTGTGCAGGATGGGGGAGGAAACACTCATCCCAGTGAACATGTGGAGACCAAAAGACAGCTTTGTCGAGTCAGTTCTCTCCTGCCTTTCATGGATTTGGAGAGTTGAACTCATGTCAGCAGGCTTGCGTTGTAAGCACCTTTACCTGATGGGCTCTCTTACAGGCCCCAGACCTTTCTTGTATATGCCAATAGAGTGTATCTTCAAAATTGGGCTTTCTCTACAACCATCTGAAATGCAACTATTTAAACATGTAAACACCATTCTGAGCTTGCAAGACACACAAACAGGGGACAATTATTGAATTCCGTTCCATGAGCTTCTGTAAAACACTACTTTAAAGGAGCATGTGGTTCAGTTAAGTGTCTTTGTCATCTCGCCTCTGTCACTCATGGATGCCCTGCTTTACTCTCTGACTCGCATTTGAGAGGAATTATCAACACAGTGGGAAGAGCCTCCTGGGGCCTCCATCTGTAGGCAAAAGCTTGCTCCTACATAGTGAAGGAGAGCATCCTGAAGAACACTTGTGTTCAGGATTCCCCTTCCTACCAAAGGTCCTGTATCAATACATTTTTGTTAGCATAATAAACACCACAACCAAAAGTGACTTAAGAAAGAAATAGTTTATTGCCACTTATGGTTCCAGAGGGATGAGTCCATCATGGTGGCCGTGGCTGCAGGCACCAGGTATGGGGGCAAGAGCAGGAAGCTCGGAGATCAAAAAGCAGAGAGAGTGAACAGGAAGTGGGGTAAGGTCTTAAACTCTCAAAGCGCAGTCCCAGTGATGCACTTCCTCCAGCAAGGCCATGCCTCCTAAACCTCCCAAAACAGCACCAACCAGCTGCAGATCAGTGTGCAAATGTGTGAGCCTGTGGGAGACATTTTTCATTCACACTACCACAGCTCCCTGTGCACAAGTTGACCCTTCCCATTCCAGAACTTCACTAGGGGGTACCCTCCAGGCACCCCACCAGCTCAGTGGCTCCTGCCCTCTGTGGATCCTGACCTCAAATGCTATTATTCTGCTTGTTTTGTCTTTAATAAGATCAGCTCCTGCTGTTATTTTTAATAGTATAACCAGAGTGGTGGCCACCATTTTTCTTCTTTAAATACATAGGTCTGGTTGGATGTCATAACAATGTATATAGCAGCAAATGCTATCCATGAAAAGACTGGTAACAAGCACCCAGTTTTAAGATGGTAAAGAAAGCTTTTGGTTAATCATCCCTTTTTTTTTTAAACTGTGTAGGGGCCTCAGGATGGTGAGTCTAAACTGACTACCTAATATTATGACCTCCAAAGCAGAAAAATCTTTCTTCTGAGACTCCCGGAGGCTCGTATTGGTTTGTCTGATGAGAGCCGGAAATGAAGGCTGTTTCATTTCTCTGCTCCAGCAGAGACCCATGCACCTGTCTATGACTGAATACAAGAAAACAATGGGGAAACAGATGAGTAGGAATTCAATCCCATGTTTTCTTCTTTGGAGTATTGCTTATTTCGTGTTAAAAATGTATATGCCAATAGAGTGTATCTTCAAAATTGGGCTTTCTCTACAACCATCTGAAATGCAACTATTTAAACATGTAAACACCATTCTGAGCTTGCAAGACACACAAACAGGGGACAATTATTGAATTCCGTTCCATGAGCTTCTGTAAAACACTACTTTAAAGGAGCACTACTCTAAGATGGGTCCTTATGTGAGCACTGAGGACACAGAGATGAGCACTGTGAATGAGAATTACAGAAAAGGACTTGTCTGCAAAGCCTGACTGACTGAACCATCAATGACTGTGGAGAGTTTGGAATGTTGCAGAACCAGAGCCTAATAACAATGTATCTTGAGCAATCTTTAGTCTACTAAATAGCTGTGTCTTGTCTCACCTCTGTGTGACCTAACAGCTTGCTCCTAGCCAGACCTAGCATCCTAACTACAGATTAAGAGGGGAAAAAAAAAAGTTGGAATGTATTAACTTGACCAAACCAGAATTTTCCAACCACTAGATGCTGAGTCATGAGATAGCACCTGAAGCCTGCAGCTGAGATTTCTCTGCTGTGCTGTAACTGCCACTTAATGTCCCCTCCAGCGTATTTAAATGACTTTATCTTAGTGTCTCCATTGCTGTGATGAAACACTGTGACCATAAACAGCTTGAGGAGGGAACTGTTTGTTTCAGCTTACAGTTTGAAGGGCTGAAGCAGGATGGGAACCTGGGGGCTTGAACTGATGGAGAGACTGTAGAGGGTGCTGTTTACTGGCCTTCTCCTCATGGCCTCCTCAGCCCGGGTTCACACAGAACCCAGGAACACCAGCCTGTTGCCACACCCCTAATAAATGGAGCCTTCCTACATCAACCATCAGTCAGGACAATGTGCCAAAGGTCAGTCTGGTGGGGGCATCTTCTCAGTTGAGATTCCTTTTTCCAGGATTCCAGGAAGACGGTAGCTTGTGTCAAGGTGACATTAAAAAAAAAAAAAAAAAAAAACAAACTAGGCAGCACAGCCCTGATTTATGACTTTCTTTTTTCCTGCCACTCTAAAACTTCATGAAACTACTTCCACAATGGGGTAAACCAGGCCATCCTCATTCAAATTCGGCTCCATAATAAAGGTCTTATGCTCTTTTCATTGAGAGCAGTGCTTTGCATCAACAGCACAGTATGGCTCAGAGTATGGAGAATCACGGCAAGTTCATAAAAAAAATCACATATAGCCAGAATGTTCCAGAAACCATGGAAAAGTAATAGGAATTTTTTACTTTATCTGGAGAAAGGAAAGAAAAATGTTTTCATGTAAGAGTATAAAAAGAAAAACAACTTATAATTTTAAACTTACACTTCTCAATTTTCAGATTTACAATTAGTAATAATGTAACATCCTGACTTAAATTTGCAAGAGGACTTGGCATTACCATCTACTCTATAGCGGCTCATAGGCTTGATATTGATATTTAAAGTAATGAACTCAGTGTTTAAAGCCAGAAAGTATTCTGATATAAAAAGGATGAATTTGGCTGACAAGTGGTAAGATGAACCCCTTGTCTATCCAATGTTTTTTTTTTGGGGGGGGGAGGTGTTCATTTTCCAATTTGTGCGATTACAGCATGGTTGAGAAGATAATAGGTAAGAAATGAGGTTAGTTTTGCTCTGCCCAAGGCAGACTGAGAAAAACAAGTCAGTTTATTTATTTATTTATTTATTTATTTATTTATTTATTTATTTATGTATTTATTTATTTTTATTTTTTGAGCTGTTCAGAATTGCCACTCTGATGAGTGCACGCTGGGTGAAGCACACACCACAGCCATGATGGTGGGGCAGGCTGGGTGGACTCACACGATCCCAGCACAGCTGAATTCAGAATACCTACACATGCAAACAAGCGATGGGATGCAAAGAGAGATTGGGATAAATAAAATAAATCAGAAACTATTCCTCACAGAGAGATGGCTGTCAGAACAAGCTGACTTTGAATTTAATGTGGGTTCCTGTAAAAAAAAAAAAAAAGATAAAAATCTCTTATGACCATCAGGTAACTTCAACTGAAGCACGAAAGTGTAAAACGCAGTAACTATTGACATAAGACTCAAAAATGCTCAGAACAAGAAGGCTTCGTTATAAAATTGAAGGCCTGGACACACTTCAGAGAGTGCCTGCGCCCAGTGCACAGGCCAAGGGTTCTGTAGCCTGAGATCTGAGTGAGATCACAGCAGTCAACCATTTGCCACGAAAAAGAGCTGAGCTGGTGCATGTGCTAGAACGTGAGCTTTTGTTCCACCCGGGGGTGGAATGTAACAGATGCCCCCCCCCCCCACGTTCAAGCTGGGTCTTCCCCACGCAGGCTGCTGGCCCACCTGCCAGGCCTCTCTAAAACACCTGCTCAGACATGACCGGCAACGTCCTTCACCAGTGGCTCAGGTTTTCTTTCTTTTAAGGATTTATTTATTTATTTATTTATTTATTTATTTATTTATTTATTCATTCATTCATTCATTCATTCATTCATTCATTCAGCATTCTGCCTGCACACCAGATCTCACTATAGATAGTTATGAGCCACAATGTGGTTGCTGGGAATTGAACTCAGGACCTTTGGAAGAACAGCAAGTGTTCTTAACCTCTGAGCCATCTTTCCAGCCTGGCTCAGGTTTTCCAAGTGTCTCTCTAGTCAAGCTGATGACCAAGAGTTACCCCAGCACCCATGGTAACTTGCTAATCAATTACATGGGAGGCTAAGGGAGGAGAGGAGCCTTCAGTGGTTCCTGCTTTTGATTAACTTTGTAATTTGCTAAAGAATGAGTAGAATATTCTCCCAGGGAAAGGTGTGATATGTTAAAAAAAATATATATTTTTTTTGGTCACTTAAAGAGAACTTAAGTCCAAGGGTGAGGGACATGGCCTGAGCTACAATCCCAGTCTCTGGTGAGGGCCTTCTCAGTGCGCTGTGACATAGCAGAAAGGTAAGCATGCACAAGAGAGAACCATTAGTCCTCCCTCGTTGACTCTGATCAGGAATTCACTGCCTCGGTGAGGGTATTAATCTATTCATAAGGAGAGGACCCCACCCCCCAGCACTGTTTCCATGGCAATTAAATTTCAGTTTGGGTTTGGGAGGAACACTGAGCCCTAGCGTGGGATAGATTATACAGCTGTCTGCTGTGCAGTAAAATCCCTCAAAACTTAATGACGTGAAAACAGCACTTTTAAGCTCGTGAATTCCATGGAATCCCACTACCGGGCACATTCTACAACTCGGCTCCATCATCCATGCCTACCATGCCATGAGGAGTTACTTTTCCTGTGTCCTACTGGACCAACATACATCTAGGAGTGCCCAGAGCACACTGTGCCAATGGCAATGATGTTTGGATGTGTCAAGCATTTGACAGTGGCCACCTGTGCTGGCCAGCTCAGGACAAGGTCCTGAGGGAGGTGTGTGCAAGCTGCCTTGGGCAAGAGAGGCCTCCTTGAGCACTGAGATACTTTACATTTCCCCAGGCATTGTCAGCAGTCTTCTCAGCAGAGAAACCACACCCAGTACAACCCTTCTATTCTCCTCCCTCCCTCCTTTCCCACATCTGCCCCCACACACGCACACACATTCCCTATGTGCTGTGTGGAAGCTTAGCATTCAACTCAATACAGGCGTGGAACAGTTGCCTCTGCAGAAGCAAACAAACACAGCAACAGCAAAACCCCGAGACGAAGCAGAGCTAGGAAAAGCCAACCTCTCACTGGTACCTGAGTCTCTGAGCCTAGCCATCCCTGAAGCCAGATCCATCTCTGTTCTTTTTACTTTTACAAATCAATACATTCTTTTAAGTTGGTCTGTATTGCAAACACAAGTATCTTGCACAGAAACTGTTATAATTAAATTAAAGCTTAATTAAAATATGAAATTGGACAGGTTAAAAAGAAAAATAAACTGCAATTCTTAGAGGACAGGGAAGCTGATAGTCAGCTGTTGCCTAGGATCTTGTGCTCCTTGGATGGCGTCTCCACCACTCAGCAATGGAAACAGCATGGACTTGGCAGAAAGCCATGAAGATAATTCAGGGAGCACTTGGAGAGCTATGTGACCCAGGCCCCGGCAAGCACATCCGCCACTGCAGCCTCTGTCTAGCTGGTCCCTGTGGATCAGCTTGGGCTACTTCCTGGACATGGAGGTAGAGACGACTGCTCCAGTTTTCTAAGCGATGGAAACCAAGACTGGAGGTGTCCATCTACAGCCCAGGAAACAGGATGGCTCCTGTGACTGGCCCCAAGCAACCCAATATCCAGAGATGCTAACTTACTACAACCTTCGGCACTCGCTATAGGCCAAGAGGAGGCTGATCTAAATAATCAAACTAGCCAGAGTTTCAAGCAAACTGTGTTGGCCCCTTGGCGACTGGAGACTGTGGGTGCGCAGTTAGTTCTTCCTGTCCTTCATGACTGAGAATGCATTTCTAAAAAGGCTACACACTCCACAGTTCCCTGCCCGTCTCGTAGGCCTGGTGATAAGGCAAGGGACAGAGGAGGAGCTGGAGTCTGGATATTGCAAAAGGGTCCTGGCCCAGGGCAAGAAAAGGGAGCCCTGTCAAACCTATAGTTTCCTGTCTAGGACCTGGAGCAGTGATTCTCAACCATTCCAATGCTGTGACCCTTTAACACGTTTCTCAATAAAACGACTTCATCGCTACTTCATAACTGTAAGTTTGCTAGTGTTCTGAATCAATGAACATATCTACTATGCAACCCCAAGGGGGCTGGGACCCAGAGGTTGAGAACCGCTGCTCAAGAGGACCACTGTCTCACCGTGTCATCAATCTCAAATAGAGCAGTCTTCCTCCCTCCTGTCCTTGGGGCGTGCTCACTTTCCCTAGCTACCAACTTCCTATCGCTTGCTTAATAATAACTCACCACAACCTACACACAGAACCCTTACCACAGGAACCCTGTTTGTAATTGTTCATCCTTCGGGACTCAGAGGCTGTGCTTGTTCTGAGCACACAGGCGTAAGTGTGACCGCACAGAGCAAAGGAGACCTTCATGGAATGTTTATTTTAGATACTGTTCTAATTTTGGCTTTAATTCTCACCTCTGGTTTCCACTCATTTCTTGGAAATCTAAACTTTTTTAAAAAACAAAATATTCTTTAAATATAACGAGTCTCTGAAGTCATGAGAGAGACTTTTCTTCTCTCCAAAAGGGAAGGACACACCGTTTCTATTTTTATGCAGCATTTTCAAATACATGTGTCAATATATATTTTATAAACTACTAAAAAATAAAACCCTTTATCCTCTGAGGTTATTGATATATTCTAAGTCTCCAATACATCTCACACAACACAGTAAATTCCATTCATTTTCATGAATGAGGTGGGAACTAGACTAAAAATAGGATTTTAATCCCTGAGGTGTCAGTTAAAATGCAGAGGTTGCCAAGAATTTCTGTTTGTTTTAAAAATTAGCTTTAAATAATTAGCATCGGTCATGCTATCTCAATCAAAACCACTTCCAGCGCAAGGAGTCCTTTAGAAAACTGCATATTCGGGGTTAAGGTCACCCTGATATCCCCAGCTCTCCAGCTATGAGAATTTTTTCTTTCCTTTTGTAAAGGAATAACGCAGCTGTTAAGTCTGCACACAAACTTCTGAGCGCCTCAGAAAAAAGGACCATTTATCCTTTCAGCTCATCGTATCGCTGTCACGTGGACGGAGAGGACCCCTCAGCACCATTTCAAGACCTGGAAGGGTCGGGCTGGTGTGCCCACGTGGGTGTCAACTCCTGGAAAGGCAGGTGCCCTGCTTGGGTGGTCTGTTTCTCCAGAGGTTAAGAGTTTAAATCAAACCTCTATGCTCTGGGAAAAGGAGGCTGGCCCTGTTCTTCCCGGAGCCCCATTAGCAGAGCTGGATTCAGCCCGCCTCACCGTCCCTGTCCACAGAGCCCACCCTCTTTTTCTGGCGGTCTGCTGAGGTTCTGGGGTCCACAAAGAGCCCTAGTAGTAGCGGTTCAGGCTCCTGGTGCCAGGCACCTCAGGCTGCCCGTTCATCCAGATCTCCCTGATAATGCGTTCGCGCTCCTCCAGCCGCTGTGCGCGCTCCAGCTCCTCCGCAGAGGTGAACACGTTCTTGTTCAAAGTCCTTTCGAAGCGGCGGTGTCTGCGCACAGACAGGTCCGACGCCGTGTCCTCGCTGCCATCCTCGCTGTCGCTGCTGTCGCTGCTGCTCTCAGGGTCCTGCAAGCACCTCCTCCGGGGACCCCGCCGGCAGTCCGTGTGGCAGGAGATCCTCATCACCAAGGCGGCCAAGGTCAGGAACAGGCCGATGCACACGCCGGAGACAAAGTACAGAGCGGCTCGCTCAGGGTTTTCTGCAGGGAGAGTAAGGAGAATGCACTGGACAAGGAGTACAGGGTCAGGGGCGCAGGCCCACGCTCTCACCAGGACCGAACTTGGATGGCAAACAGTGCCAGCCTTCTCAGGAACAAATTTCCTAACGTTTCCAAAGAGCATTATCAGGCCAGGTATGGTGGCTCATGCCTATAAATAATCCCAGCATTGGAGATACTGAGACAGGGGCATTGCTGGGAATTCAAAGCCAGAGGGACTGCCTCAAAAAGATTAAAGACAGTGGCAAGGTGGCTCAGTGGTGCAAATCCTTGCCTCCAAGCCCGAGGTCTGAATTACTACCCCAGGAATCTACAGGATGGAGAGAAGAATGGGTGGACTCCCTCAAGCCGTCCTCTGACTTCCACATGCAAGCCATGGCACAGTGTACCAGAAAACACACACACACATGTACATACATACACGTAATAAAATGAAAAGGAAGAGAAAGACAGAATAAAAAAGTAACACATCTGTTAGAGGCAAGGGTGTGTGAGATTATCACTCGTTTCAACTTTAACTTGAAGTTATTTTCAAATGTAAAGTTGCTATATGTATGGTCTTTGGGTCTGGTTAATTTCAATGCGTGTGTGTGTGTACACAACTTTTAATACTAAAGTTTAGAATAATTCTTAATGTTAAAAGACCCAAGAAATTAAAAGGTAAAAAACTAATGATTCAGTCCCTCCCACATGGAGCAACTGTGCTCGCTCTGAGCCATGTCTTTCTGAAGACCTTCTTCCTGAGTGTCTAAAGGTTTCCATTCATTAACTCTCTCACACAAGCCTCTCTGGATCACTCATGGGTACCAGCTTCTGGTACCCATGCCCTTTGTCAACCAACCTCTTCTTTTTAAAATTTATTTATTTTTATTTTATGTGCATTGGTGTTTTGCTTGCATATTTATCTGTGTGATCTCCTGGATCTGTAGTTTATCAGATCTCCTGAAACTGGAGCTACAGACAGTTGTGAGCTGCCCTGTAGGTGCTGGGAATTGAACTTGGGTCCCCTGGGAAGAGCAGCCAGTGAGTGCTTATAACCACTGAGCCATCTCTCCAGCCTCCTTAACCTCTTCATTTTAAGGCCTAGAGCTTGCAAGTCTGTGTGTGTGTGTGTGTGTGTGTGTGTGTGTGTGTGTGTGTGTGTGTATGTGTGACAGAGAGGCCACCATGCCTGGCCTCTTAATTCTGGGTTCTAGGGACCAAACTCAGACCCTCATGTATGTAAGGCAACACGTTACTGAAGGAGCTGTCTTCCCAGGCCCTACTAACCTATTTCTACACAATATGGCAAAAGCAATAGGTGATTCTAAGATGAGGTTATTTGAAGCTTCAATATGCCTTCCTCATAAATTCCCTTTCTTTCTCTCTTCCTGATCATGAAGATGAAGTCAGCTGCTGTGGGTAAGTTGCTCATACGGAAGTCCAAGTATCACATAGCTGACAATGGCCTCCAGCTTTCAAAGGACCAAAGTTGCCAACAGCCATGTGGGTGAGCTTAGAAGGGAATCCACATCGAGGTAGAGCTTGAGGTGAGATGATACAACCTTGGCTTTCCAGCAGCCTTCTGAGGGGCCTTGAGCTAGAGAGCCCAGTTAAGCCACACACACAGCTTTCTGAACCACAGAGACAGAAAGGTGGGTGTAACTTTTAAGTTTTATTCAAGGGCTCATGTGCATGTGAGTGCAAGTATTCTGGGAGGCCAGGGTCCTCTGCAGTTACAGGTGGTCACGAACGCCTGCTGTGGGTGCTGAGAATCGAAGCAGTACCTGCTTTTAATTGCTGAGCCATCCCTCTAGCCATCTGTGCTGTATCAAGACCCTAAATTTGGGATAATTAGTATACAGCCATGGAGATAACGCATGTAGTCAATCACACATCTAAAAGCGGGGTAGATATTGAGGAATGGAATCAAGTCCACCGAAAGGGGAGGCCTGAGGTGCTTGGCAGAGAAGGACATAATTGTTCTATGGATGAGGTGTATGCTCAGTGGGGCCCTTGGTGACCCTGGTGGTATGTACTCAACAGAATGAGAACCACTGGGTGAACACAGCAGCTGTCCCTTTCATGAAGATATTCCTGGCCCAGGTCAAAGGCACGGTCAAAGTGATAGGACTTACATACACATCAGCAAATCAATTTTCCACATTCTGTAGCCACTTGGGAAAGGAACTGACATGTTATTTGGGGGCATCGGACAACAGAAATAGGATCACAGGTGACTCGGAATTGCTTTGTAAGTTTAAGGCTCGGCATGGGGACACTGACCTGTAATCCCAGCACTCTGACAGTGGAGGTAGGAGGGCCAGGAGTTTACCAACAACATCCCCAGAGGCCGAGTTCAAGGCCAGCTTGTGCTACAGGAGACCCTGCCTGGGGGAGGGGGTGCATTTCTTAGTGAGATTTTCAGATCTGTGTGTTTATGGCTATAGCACCGTGCTTTGTAGAACAGACCCATAAAGTTCATTAAGTTGTTTACTGATAGCCCATAAACTGTTTCTGATATATTTATATGTAATGACTTAAGGACAGGTCTAGCAAGCTGGCTCAGCAGGTAATGGTGCTTGCTGAGCAAGCCTGGGAAACTGAGTTCGATCCCTGGAACCCAAGAAAAGGTAGGAAAACAGAAAACAGGCCCCTTGGACAGTGTTCTCTCCTTCCTGGATTCTGTAAGGCCAGCAGTCACGTTCTGCCACAGCTTCCCCCTATGGCTGACTGAAGCCTCTGAAATAATGAACCGAAAGAAATCCTCCAGCAGCTGGGCACAATCCCAGCACCCAAGAAGGCAGAGACAGGTGGATCTCTGTGAGTTTGAGGCCAGCCTGGTCTACAAACTGAGTCCAGGACAGCCAAGGCTACACAGAGACCCTGTCTTGAAACAACAACAAAATCCTCCAGCTTTTAAATAATGTCTTGTATTTCATCACCGAAATGAAAAAAATGAATGTCACTGGGTATGAGAAAGCTTCCTAGAAAAACATAATTTCTGAGCTGAGAGTAGACAGGTGTGATGAGTTCTCCAGGTGGAGATCAGGAAAAGCGACACAGGGTACATGGTTGAGAAAGAAGTGTAGCTTTGTGGGAAAGTGTGAGACGTCAATCTCTCAGACAGGGGCTGAGCTCCTCGTCTCTAGGTTTTGCAAGTCCTGCCTTCTCCTGCTGTGATAATCAAAACAAAACATTTGGCTTTCATGTCCCAGTAACAGCACATCACTGAAGGAATTCGGGCAAGAACCCAAAGACAGGCAAGAACTCAAAGACGAGCAGGAACCTGAAGGCAGGAACTTAAGCCAAGGCCATGGAGGAACGCTACTTTCTGGCTTGCACACACACCCCTGCCTCCAGATTATTTAGCTTGCTTTCTTATATAACGGAAGACTACCTGCCCAGGGGAGGCACCAGCCACAGTGGGCTGAGCCTCCCACATCAAGCAAGAAAATGCCCCACAGACTTCATACGGATCAATCTGATGCAGGCCATTCCTCTACCGGATATACCCAGAATTGTGTCAAGTTGACAAAACCAGCAAGCACAACCAGCCCTGCAGTTCATGTTCGGCTGACCACAATTTGCTATCTAATGTCAGTCTGAGATAAGCCTGACTCAGAGACTTACGGATAGGGGACCCAAGAGAAAGCAGATCATTAAGCTCTCTGATACATGGCATGTCACCTCCCATGAGCTGAAATCCCATGACGAGCTTCTCTGTTGTTTAGCAGGAGGAGGCCACTGCCGTCAGTTAGTGGCTCCAGCCTGGGTCCATCTCAGCCTCATGGAGCCTGGCAACCCATTGCTCATGATAAAATACAGGTGGGGGAGCTGGAGAGATGGCTCAATGGGTAGAGTGTCGGCCGCTGCTCAAGCGTAAGGATCTGACTTTGTATTCCCACCACCCCTGGGACAGCTGAGATGCGGGCACACGACCTTATCCCCAGCCCTGCAGAGGCAGAGGCAGGCATGTCCCGGGGACTCACTTGCCGGGCAGCTGAGCCCATCGGTGGGTTCAGCAAGAGACCCTGTCTCAAACAATAATGGGGAGAGTGTGACAGAGGAAGACGGCTGACTTTAGCCTCTGGCCTTCACTCATGGTGAGTGTGTGCTACACGTACACACACTACAGTGAGCGAGAAATAACTGGAATGGATGATGTGTGCCACACACTGGACGTGGACATAGACCTGGCAGCGGGTTGAGCCAGGGCTGAGGGGATGGATCTCCGAAAGGCAAGGGAGGCTCGGTCTGGGTGACCTTATCAGATCTCATTCCAGTGATAATTCAAAAGCATATCGCTGGAAAAAAGGCAAAATGAAAACCTATTTGCTGGAAAATGGGTTCTATTGTTTACCAGAATGAAACCTCTCCCAGGGGCCATGTCCTGGCTTGGCTCCTCTGTGCAGAGAGATCCAATGGCCCCTTCTCTCTAAAGCAGGCTTGACTCAGCCTCAAACACCCGCCCCCAGGTGCTCCAGCATTGATTTTTCTGCCACTATCCACATAGGAGAGAAATAAGGTCATTGTACCTGAGGCGACAGCTTGTCAGGAAGCCCAGAGTCCTTCCTCTACCCACACAGCAGCCCAGGGCCCTTGAGGCCACTGACCCTGCCTGCATTGCTTTGAGTGTAAGAGAGCGTGGACTCTGCCTATGAGCTCTGCTCTTAGGGTAAGCCATCTTCACAGCGGAAATGTGTGCGTAGAAGGGGCAGTAGGGGGTGGTTCTTTAACAAATGTGTTTATTTTGTATTTTTGAGATCGGGTCTCGTACAGTCCAGGCTGGCTTTGAAATCCTGATCCTCTTGCCTTTATCTCCTAAGAACTGAGATCATGGGTATGCACCATGACAGCCTCAAGGGTGGCTTCAGAGAATGCATCTCAATGCCTTTGACAGGCATTTTTTGGTTCTTTCCATGCTGTACTTCACTGAGACGGCACCTTGATGACCGTGTGTTCACCTGCGCTGTCCCCACGAAGGTGCCAAGCCTCTCCCC